GAATCCGGTCTTCTAATGCGTCCTAGGTTTTCGAACAGAGCCCTAATGTCGTCACGGCCGTAATAAACAGGAAGTAGAGGCTTTTTTTTTTAGCTTTATTGATCAGAACACTAATTACAAGTTCAAATAAGAATCTCCACTTTGCATTCTCACAACAAAAACAAATAAAATAATTATTTACAGGAAATCAATTAACTTAAACAAGACAAAGGAAAAAAAGTCTAATTTACAGATTTTTAAATCAGTGGAAGCAAAATCCCAAAAAAACAAGACATTAATTTAAGAATTTAAATGAACATAGAGATGCTGCCTTCAGCAATGACACTAGTGTTTCACCATTTGGTGAAAATATGCGATGATGATATTATTAATGATGGCGTCATCAGGACTCAGAGAAACTCCTCTTTTCTTCCAGCTGCGGGAAAATCCTGCATGTTTCTATAACCTGCTGGTTTCCTGATTTTTCATGATTTTTGTCTAAATTAGAATCTAAAATTGTTTGATTTTCAAAGGATGATTTTAGTCCATAAAATGCTGAAGGTTTGATGATTAAAGCCGGTTAACAAGTTAAAAGATAAATAAACGCTCGAAAATACAAATTAGACGGATAAACAGGAATATTAGCGTCTCTTTAAGCTCCACTGCCTTCATGACGACGCTGGCGTCGTCTGTAGCTATGGTAACCTGACCCCCCCCCCCAGCCAAAGCCTCCATATTGTCTTTCCCACTGAGAAGAGCTGGTTAAAACATGGCCGACCCGTGGCCCCCTTCCATTGGCGGATAAATCTGACCCGCTGTGACATCATCGCCGGCCGTGCGGTAAAGTCTGAGTGTTTCCAGGTTATCTGACCCGCTGTGACATCATCGCCGGCCGTGCGGTAAAGTGTCTGAGTGTTTCCAGGTTACAGCCGCGTCCTGCTGGCGCTGCTCTCCTTCTACCTGATGCCCTGCTGCCCCTGGCCCGCCGTCTGCTGCTACCTGCTCAGCGCCCTGCTGGACGCCTTCGACGGCCACGCCGCACGCCTGCTCAACCAGTGTAGGTGTCCAGAACCGCTCCGCCTCCAGAACCGGGCCTCGGCCTGTCTGAGGAGCAGGGAAGGGTTTGGTTCTGCAGGTTGTAGTTGACCCGGTTCTACCGGGGAATGGTCCAGACTGACCCGGTTGTCGTCCCTCAGCCAGCAGGTTCGGCGCCATGCTGGACATGCTGACGGACCGCTGCGCCACCATGTGTCTGCTGGTCAACCTGGCTCTGCTCTACCCGTCCTACGCCTTCCTGTTCCAGCTCAGCATGGTTCTGGACGTGTCCAGCCACTGGCTGCACCTGCACAGGTGAGCTGCAGCAAGCAGAACCGGTTCTGGTTCTGGTTCTGGATGTGTTGACGCTGTGGTTGTTGTTCAGCTCCACCATGAAGGGATCTGGGAGTCATAAGAGCATCGACCTGTCGGGGAACCCGGTTCTACGCCTCTACTACACCTCCAAGGTGAGAACAGAACCGGCCCGGCGGCGCGGCTCCGGGTCCCAGCAGAACCTTTAACCGCTGTGTTTGTTTCAGCCGGTTCTGTTCGTCATGTGCGCCGGGAACGAGCTGTTCTACTGCCTGCTCTACGTCCTGCACCACATGGAGAACCCTGCAGGTGAGAGAACCCAGCAGAACCAGCCGCTGAACTCTGACCTTATGTGGTCTTCCTGTTGGACCCGGTTCCGGCTGGGACCAGAACCACAGGGGTTCTGGGCGTGGCGCTGACCCGTCTCCTGTGTCTCTGACAGGCTGGCTGGTTCTGCTGCAGGTTGTCTGCGGACTCGTCTGTCTGCTGAAGTCGGCCATCAGCGTGGTGCACCTGGTCACCGCCGCCCAGAACATGGCCGCCATGGACGCCGCCGAGCGCCAGATGGCGGCCAAGAAGCACTGAGGGAGGGGGGTGTGGGGGGGGCTGGGTTTCCTGTTCTGCTCTGTGATGTTTATGTTCCATCCTGTTAAAGCAGGTTGATCATTGGATCAGAACCAGAAGGTCCAATCAGACTCTGATCAGAACAGTTCCAGGAGGAAGACCATCTGGACCCGTTTTCCACCCAGAACCTCTCCGGCCAGCAGGGGGCGCCGACTCCTGGACCCGCTCTGATTTCTAGAAGTCGTTCATTGATGCTGAAGAACATCTGGTTCTGAATCGTTTCCTCGGTTCTGAAGTTCTGTCTGCTTCATGCTGTCGGGTTCCTGTCATGTTCCACCATGTTGGCTCGTTGTTCCAGAACCCGGATCAGAACCCGGACCCGGATGCTGGGACCCGAAAGAAACAACCAGAAATAAAACGAGGGGAAAGAGGGACCCCTCTGGTTTCCTGGAGCCTTTCAGGGCTAGCTAACCCTGAGGTCAGAGGGC